AGGCCGTTCGGCCTCCCTGGAGCGCTCCCTTTCCCCCTCGGAGACCCCAGCGAACCTGGCTGTTCTCTTACAGATACCTTGCCATGTCTGGGTTTGACAGCTTCAACACAGACTTCTTTCAGACGAGTTACAGTATCGATGACCAGACCCAGTCCTATGATTACAGTGGAAGGCCGTACAGCAAGTAACTCCTGCATGTCTTTTGAGCTTGTGTAACGTGTGCCTTGTGCAAAGCCATTCAGTGGCGCTGCTTTAGCCACCGAGCCTGAGCTAAGATACTTCTGGGGCGGTCTGCGTATTCAGGAAAGGATTGGCATTTCTGCCAGCTGCTCTTGCCTGTGGTGTTGCTCTGTGTTTTATGAAAAGCGTAACTTATTCTATAAACGGAGATATAAAGCAGTTGTATGTTGAATACTCTGTCCTCTACATTTAAAGCAAAGATTAGAAAATTGAAAGAAAGTTTACATGAGTAATCTTAATTATATGAATAAAGTTTGCGTCTTAGGGAAAAGCAGTACGGCTGTTGTGTAAATCACTCGGGGAGTAAAAATTAGTTACAGCGTCACATAAACGAGTCGGCAATGTCAGTGGTGATTCCTGGGCTTTAGCAGGGAAGCGTGCTGACGTTTCTAGGTCAGGGGAGCTCTCAGGAGGCCTTTGTGAACTTCCAGTCTCAGGCAGAGGGTTTTGGTCGGTTACGTGACCCGTGTGATCCCTGCGGTAGATAGAGCAGGTCGATGCCTGTTTGTGCCCTGGAAAGGATTACAGGGCTGATGAGGTTGAACTCCACTAACAAAAGGAAATAAAGGAGAAGGAATTCTGGACTTTCCTTCTTTATATTAATATTTTTTAAATATTTTGATGACATTTACTGAAATCACTGTAGTCAGACTTGGAAATGGTTGGTGGCAACAATAACTTATGGTTCTGTTCCTAAACAGGCCATAGCTTTGATGAAGCTTTTTTTTAAAGGTAGAAATGTATATTTTTTATACATACAAAGTCTATAATGAAAGCATTCTGAATACACTATAAATTGATTTGTTAGCAAATAATTGAGAATATGTGAAATAGAAACTGAAAAATCACACGTTTTTTTCCACTGCATCATGTCCTGTAGGTCATAATGTGTTTAATGCCCCTATCACAATTCCTTTTTATGTCATAATGCTTCCTGATGCACATGATGCCTAAGCAAAGGGGAAAACAAGCTCACCTTTTAAATGTGGAACAGATAGTATTAGCAACTTCGTTCTCTAATAGTGAGTTTGCAGATAAGCATTCTAAATAGCGAATTAATGCTGGCATTAAATGAGATGTCAGTAGTAATTAATGGACAATATTTGAATAAGTTTGAGATGTAAAATTTTCCTACTTTTATATAGGTCTACAGCCAGTAGTAGTAATTCAGTCAATGGATAGCGCTCATTTCTCCAGGCCTCTGACTTACAACAAAAAAGCAATACTAGCGTATGTAGTGAGAATTATCTTGTTTAGTTTAACAGTATTGTTGATAGAGTTTGTATTGACAAGCGTGGCTCTATGCCTAAAAGGCCTGGATCCCAGTAGGGGGAATCATCTAATGTGACTTCTTGAAAAAGAAGAAAGTATTGTTTGCTGTGACTTATTTACTGAAAATAAGCTTTGCTTTTGCGGGGAGGCATTTAAAATAAAATTCTGTACCTGTCCATAATGCAATGTCGTTCTTTGTAGGCAGTATGGAGGCTATGAATACTCTCAACAAAGTGGATTTGTCCCTCCAGACATGATGCAGCAGCAGCCTTACACAGGGCAGATTTACCAGCCAACACAGACGTACACTCCAACTTCGGCACAGTCTTTTTATGGAAGTAATTTTGAGGATGAGCCTCCTCTATTAGAAGGTATAACTTATGCTTTGTGGCCAAAATCCAAAACTCTTCCCAGTTTGGGGATAAGTTGCGTAGCAGGGTGTGTATTCCCTACTTCTGAAAGTGCACACTTGATTTGAAATTCTCATTAGTTTTTTTTATTTATTTTGTTATATGAAATACATGTTCCTGAGTGAACTTCTGCAGTTTTAAATTTGTGCTTTATTACTTCACAGCAGCTGTTCTGTGGAAGATGTAGTCAATTAAATGGATAACCTGACTTCATACATGACAAAACACTTACTATTTCTGTTGTTGCAAATAATATTTAGAATTGCCCACTTTTTGTAAAATAAATCAGCGCAGTTAATTGTAGTTGATTCTTTGGTTAGAACTGAAATCTTTCATTGCTAAAGAGGAACGCTAAACACTGCAGAAATTCCTATGTAGAATACAGCCTGTGCAGAATGCCGGAATGGATATGTAATTACTGTCTGGATTGATGGTTTCAGTTTCCAGCCTATAGCTGTTATTGTTCAGTACTGAACAACTGAAGAAACCCTTACTGTTACAGGTTAGAGAGGTATTTGTGATGCCCATCACCTATCCCTATTCACGATACCTTTCACTCTGCTGTGCTTTTTTTGGTTTCTTCAAAAAATTATTTTCTTTACCCAGCTGCATCCCAGGGCCTGAATTGGGCAAGTAGGAACTGCATTTGTAACTAGGTTTTGACGCACAGCTGTGGTCAAACTGTATGGATGGAGACTTGAAATCATGTCTAGCTGCAGGGAGCTGCAAAACTCCTTGTCATGAGACACTGAGTGTTAAAAGGGGTGGGTGGTTTTTTTAGCGGGCTCAGTGGCTGATTTATGAAAGAGAAATCTGCTGAGGGTAATTAAATACAGAGAAACTACTTTGAATTAGAAGTCCTTTAGCCAGCAGTCATTGGAGACTTGGAGAATCTGCATGTTCTTTGCTTATACTCTTCCATACATATCTGCTTTTGGCCACTTACAGGGACAGCGTGGGTACTGGGCTAAATGAACTTTTGGGCTGAACCAGAACACTGCATTGATGCTCTTACCTTGTCCTTTAGAAATCACTTTGTCACTTCAGAGCATTTGAGACCTGGAGTCTGTGGAGGCAGCACACTCAGCAGCTTGAGGAAAGATGGAATGACTCCATTCTCTGGTCCCCATAGAAATGTATCTAGAGGAGATTTAAAAGTGGAGAGGCAGGGAAATCGGAGTGAAGCAAATGGGGGCGACAGGAAGGGAATACATGAAACAAATATGCATAACTCTTTTCATGTAACTTGTAGAATTGGGGATCAACTTTGACCACATCTGGCAGAAGACACTAACAGTGCTACACCCGTTAAAAGTAGCAGATGGCAGCATCATGAATGAGACTGATTTGGCTGGACCAATGGTCTTCTGTCTAGCTTTTGGAGCCACATTATTACTGGTAAGATATTGATTGCAAAGTATTAGTTTGTGCATTAATATTCTTGGAAACACTGGGAAAAAAGCCAAGTTACCTGTAGGTTTATTGGAAGTGACTTGGCATGGAGGCCAAAAAATCCCGACCAAGAATTTGTAGCTGTGTTGAAGAGGAGCTGGGGCTTCATAAACGGCTGATTAAAATTAATGGGTTCGCTATCACTTTACGTCACTGGAGTTTGAATCCAAGTCTTTGTGCTTGGTTTTTGCATGGCAGTTACTTTAATGTAATTCATATTTCTTTTCATGCTTTGCTTTTGAAGAATATGGCTCCCTTTTGTCACAGGAGCGGGTGTCACCCGTGTTCTCAGAGTTTTACCTGTTTGGGATTTTTTTTATAGATTGAGGTGTTTTACTTTCAGAATCATAACTTGTCTTTTTGCAGCATCTCTGTTCTGTTTTATCAAGAATCGGAACAATGGACACATTAAATATTTGAATATTTATTTTGTTTCTTCATTTAGGAGTTTCTTTTATTTTTTAACTCTTACTGTGTTTAATATTCAAGTCTATGACTCTGTTTTGTTTCATTTCATTGTATTTCTTTGCTCCATACTCTTTATTCATTGTTCTTTACTGCTATTCAAGAGGCGAGGAAGCTCAAAATTTATGTGTAAAAAGTGATTTCATAAGTGCTGATATATTAGGCGTGACTTTCGGTATCAAGAGTCAGTCTGGTAAAACACAAGTAAACCTGCTTTCAAATTGTTTATATTTCTTAATGGGTTAGCAGCTGTTGAAGCCTGGTGGTTTTTTTAGTTCAGCTTAATTGAAATAAGATTGTGCTTTAATGACTCAAAAGTGTCAATTATGAAATGACAGAGTAGCAGTAAACAGTCTTCCTTGTCATTGAAAGCTTCAATATTTTTAATCATTATTTTCCTGTAATTGTCTTCAGGCACTGCTTTTAATTTTTGCCTAAAATTTCACATTGCCATGAGACTTAGAACACAGTGTTTTGGTACCAGGAGGACTTTAAGCCTATTTTAATAAGTAACCTTTATTTATGGAAACTAGGCCAGTAGAATTAATTAACATGTTTATAATAGATACATTTGAATGTTCTTTTAATAAGAAATTATCACTTTCTCCCGTGTGCTTTTTTTTAAAAAAAAAATACATTGAATGTAGTCAAAGAAAACAAGCTTAACCTAGCAAAAAGATTACAGCAGATATGATTGCTTTCTATAGCGCTGGAGAAAGAAGAGAGGGGGGTTATAAGTAAACTTAGTTTGGAAGTTAGCAGTGGGAGACAGAGCTCGAAGCTGTACACCATCGGAGCGTCAGTAGCTGCGTGGCCCTGTGTTCCTGCAGGGGTGGCCACCGTGCGTTGTGTGTGTTTTGGTAGATGTTATAAGGGAAGCATCGATCTCATCGTTGGAAGAACAGATGATGACATAGGATACCTACGTTTTGAAATAATGCACGTATGCTTTCTGCATACTTGTTAGCAAGAAAAGTTCTGACTTTTGACTTGTAAAAATCTACATGAGTTAATTCTGCCATTCGTATACAGTGCTTTCCCAGAAACAGCTGAAGCTGAGCTGTCATTTTTTACAATTTACATTGTGGTATAACTTTGTGGAGTCTATCACAAATTAAAGGACTTTAGCTCTGGATTAGTCAGGAAGTTCCTGAATTACAGTTTTTTGGTCTTTATACACTATTTCTGTAAAGGTTATTATTGAAGTATCAATTGGCATGAGAAGTTTGTTGATTAAATCCTAAAGAATTCGTAGGCTTTTGCAGCCCAGATCAGAGAACAGCAATTCGATCGAAATCTGTTTATTGAGATACGTAAAATTAGGCTAAATGTGCTTCCTGGGTGCCTAGAATATACAGGTGTCCTGGAATTCAGGTTGCGGGAAAATGCCGCCTGTTGGATTTGAGTACGGGAATTGGGGGTGTGGGACAACAGGAAAATGAAGATATTCTGTAAACATTCTTTCCTTATCCCTTTGCTTGTGGGAGGCATCACTTCAGGTAACTAACATGCAGTACTCTGCTTGACTTGCAGGCTGGGAAAATTCAGTTCGGTTATGTGTACGGAATAAGTGCAATCGGATGTTTAGGGATGTTTTGTCTCCTGAACTTAATGAGCATGACGGGTGTCTCGTTTGGCTGCGTTGCCAGTGTCCTTGGATACTGTCTTCTTCCTATGATCCTGCTTTCCACTTTCGCAATTGTATTTTCGTTGCAGTAAGTACATCAACTTTATAATTTGGTAATAGATTCCTCTCCTGTGAGATAGTGAAAGAAGTTATTAAAAGGAATTTTCATATTCAGTGATGAAGCTGCATGTAGTTTGAATATGACAGGAATTTGTAGTAAGGATAAAACCATAAATATCAACAGTCTTCAGGTATTTACAGGTGAATACTGGTTTTAGCTCTAAGTCAATTAATGGCTTTTAAATACATAGAGTGAAATAACAATATCAAGTTTGTTTTCAGTCAGCTTTGAATCTCACAAATCTCAGTACCCGTAAAGTTTAAAAGTAATTATAATTTAAGATGCAAATTTGAATTTGACAAACAAAAGAAAATCAGTGTGATTCGTCATAGCTACATGAAGTTAGGGACTGAAAAGAAAGAACCTGCTACAGTTCCTTTACTCAGCGCTTATACATTTCATATGCACAAAGTTTATTTGGGTTTTTTATGCTGTCGTAATTGAATAATATCATTCTGAAGTCTTTACTGCAACTATTTCTTTTCATGTCAAACATAAAAGCTAAAGTTCATCTTAGAATCTGTAAAAGGTGCCAGAAGGAGTCCCGTTAGGACGCCTGTAAGTGTATATACACAAGTCTTACCTGAATTCTCTTTTTATTTCTGTCTTTACAGGGGGATGATGGGGATTATTCTCACGGCTGGAATCATTGGCTGGTGCAGCTTTTCTGCTTCCAAAATCTTCATTTCTGCCTTAGCAATGGAAGGACAACAACTTCTAGTAGCATACCCCTGTGCTTTATTGTATGGAGTCTTTGCTCTCATTTCTGTGTTTTGAATAGACTGTCCAAACTGTTGGACTCCAGTGGGCCAAAATGAAAACATCAACTTGGAACACTTAGTTGGACCAGAAACAGCTGCAAACAGCTGTGTAGTGTTGCTGTCACAAAACTTAGACCTGTTTTGAATCATCTGGAACAATGAAAACAAATGTCTCGTGTTCACTTTTTTAGGACTTTGAATACTGTTTTCAATTGACCTGATGTGTCTATAGCTTTAATAAGTGTTCGTGCTTATCAAGTTAATGTAATTTCTTTCCCATTCCTATATCTTTAGAAAAGTAACTTTTGGTTGTTTATTTGAGGGTTGTGTTTTTTGTTTGCTTTTGGTTTGTTTGTTTAGGTTTTTTTAGGGGAGTGAGGGAGGGAGAAGGGTTGCAGTTATAAATGGATAGATTTTTATCCGAAAAAGTTAACAGAAATGCAGATGCCATAGATTTGGGGTACTCTTTGAATACATCTGCAGTAATAAGAGGGAACAGAAAATAGGTTCCTTACCAAAAGCGAAATGCACAAATGAACACAAGCTATTAGGGTATTTTCTATATTTTAACAAATATACTCTTAAGCTCCTGGGTCTCATTTATTGGTTCATTTGATGGGATAGTATTTCAGGATTTACGATACTTAAATTATGAGTTAGAAAACAGATACTTAAAAGTTAAAGGGATCTGTAATTCTGTGACACTTGAAATATGAATACATTTGGATGTCTGAGTAGCTATATGTTAACTTGGATTTCTGAAGATGACTTTAACTAGAGTTTCTTTTCCTAATGGTGCACATACAAGTAGATGAAGAGTAATCTCTTTTGCAGTACTTCCAAGAAAACCACCATTTTGAAAATGTTATGCTTGTCAGTATTGTAGTTACTGTAAAATAATTTAAGGCATATTGATTAAATTTTCCTTAAATTTTGAAAAAAGTGTTTGATTTTTCTAATCTTTCTTTTTTAATGGCATTCAGTGACTAAAATAGAAACTTCAATATTGAAGCAAAATCATATTTAAAACTGTTCAGTTGGTGGATTTGATATTTGCTTCAGTCACAAATACTTAATCTGACGTGAGAAGCATAATCTAGTTTCTGATGTTAGTCACAAGAAGCTTTACAAGCCTGAGAAGTGGGAAAGCAAAAATGGTTGTGCTTCACATGAGCACTTGCTAATTCTTAAAATAAGCATGAAAAGGATACAGATATTTTAACTGCTACTGGGGAGGGGAGGTTCCTTATGTGGATGGTAATTCTCTGCCCCCGCCTTGCAAATGCAGAAGCTCTAACAAAGCCCTATATTATAACTACCTTTTCTTCAGCAGTTTAGTCCAAGGGATTTAATTGAATTGAGTTTAGCGCAGGGGTTAGTCTGATGTTCATCTGTCGTGTCCGTGGAGCGACATATTCGTAGACGTCAGGAGTTGAATCACTGGTCAGACGTGTTCTGTTAACACCCTCTGGTAAGACTTGATGTGTGAATGCATCTCCAAAGGAAAGCTTGCATCTTGGTGATATGGGAATGAATCATTTCAAAGGCTCAGTGCACATTTTTGGTCACTCTTCCCTTGCTTTTGCACATTCTCTTAAAAATGCCTTCCTAGTGCTACTAGAAGTTACTGAGCAGGGCCTTCTGTGTTGGCCAGAGCCAGCTTTGGCTTGTCTCACTGGGAGTTGTGGGAGGTGTCATGCGAGTGTGAAGCCTTTAAGAACCAAACACTGATGCACAAAAGCGTTCGGACTTGTGTTGTGTACGGTAACTGGCTGTGGCAATGAATTTTAAAACTCAGATGCACATAAGAAACTTCAATTTCTTTCCAGAAGCAAATTCAAGAGCCCAGATAATTTTCTACTTCGGTATGTTATTACAAATTATCATTCTGAATAAAAGTTGCAAGTTGATTTTATTTAGCAAAATGTTATACTCTGTAGTTCTGGTTTCTTTGGATTAGTAGACCACATCTACCCCAGTGCACAAAGTTCTTAACTCTCTTTAGTGAAGAACATCACCTCTGATGGAGCATGATGTCCCGTATTTGTGCAAATAAATTACAGTGATTACCTTTACTAATTAAATACCGAATTGTTCTGCAAAGTCTAAAAGCTCCCATACTTCCTTGAGCACATCAGGTTCTAATACTCAAATATTGTATTTTTGTGAAGCGGGCGAATTAAGCTCACCTTGCGTGTACGAATGTGGTTCATTTCTTACAGCTTGCGCTGGTTCTGTGGATACCTTCCGGGGTGATTGCTTATGTGTTAATGGTTATAAATAACCTTCTCTCACCACAGCATGAGCAAACTAAGTGCACAGGAAGAACATTAAAAATTCGCTTGTCTCGGTATAGCAGTGGCAATACAGCTGCTGAGTTTGGGAACACCATAGGAAAAGGTATTTATTTAGATATATACGTTCCCACCCTCAACTGCCAGAGCAAGAACGTTATTACGCGTTCTACTCGAGCAGTGAGGTTTGACTCAGTGAGTGTCGGGAGTGTTTTGTGTTCTTCAGTTCACATTGTGGAGAATTTAGCAGTGAATTTCTAACCGGTCTCTTGGGGGCAGGAGAGAAGAGGATGGGTGTCGAAGGTCAGAGACCTTAATTCATAGAAGACTTTATAAAAATGCAATGTTATGTCTGGACTGGTAGTCTTAAATATCCCAGATTTCTGGTACTTTAATTAACATGATTGCATTGATGGTGTTTATTGCCTTTCCAAAATCAATTCCATCGATTTCCTGTAATAAGGTTTTGTCCTAGATCTTGTTTCAATTTTAGTTACATTTCAGACCATTTAATCTCGCCATCACCTAGAATGACAAGATTGTGTGCTGTAATTCATTACTCCCACATTTGCCTTTCATATCTAGTAGGACTTTTTTTCTTTTTACTCTCTAAATCTGAACTCTCCCCCATAGTCTGTTACATCAGTATTCTCATCCAGTTTTCAGATGAAACACTGACATTACTTGCTTCCATCCTGCACTGTGTCTTCACATTTTCGTGTTACTCAGCTTAAAGCATTCAAACATGAATGCTGGTGTTGCTTTTATAGAACCACTTGTGTTATCCCACCCAATCTTGAAATTATTCCTGTTCTACAAAAGTTAGAAGTTACCTTTCCCAGTTTGTCCATTTCTTGTCCCAGTTTGTCCATGTTTTGACAGTGACTTTGTATTTCAGATCGCTTGTTTTGCTAGGAGGCAGCTGCTGACTGCAGTTCTGTTTGTTTCTATAGGCAACGTTTCCGTAAGTCTCAAAAAATTACATGGCACGTTCTGTACTAAAATGCATGTTTTTCCTGTGCTCTTACGCCTTTCGTCTGTGCACTGGCGTGGGCATCTGTTCTTGAGGGGCTGTTCCTCGTTCAGTGATGGATGAACGCTTTCAGGAACCGCAGAGAGCCGGGGCAGATTTGGTATTTTATGTGAAGCCAGATGTTCCTCCATCCTCACAGCTGGAAAGGAGCCTCCTGGATTTGATGTGGCGCACCAAGAGCGCTGTGCACCGGCGTCGCTCGGGCTCTGCACTGCCTTCTCTCCAGAGCAACTGCCTCATTTCCCCGGAGCGGAGCGGTCCGGGCTGCGTTCCTGTAGAGACCGCTCGTTTGGGTCTGTGATAAGGAGCTGGAATACCCTTAGTTTTGTCTCCAGATATCAGCAGCGGGACGTTTTCCCTGGGTAATCCATGCAGAAGGGAACTGGGGCTCTCGCTCCTCTAGGCACCAGCGGTTGCGGTTGGGCACAGGCCTCGTGGTGCGAAGGCTGGGCTGGGTCACAGCCCGGGAGCGCTCCGCGCGAGGGAGTCGCTCACCAATGCACCAAGTGCTTTGGTTGCTATCAGTGCCAGCGTTTAAAAGTTTGTTAAAGGTTTTTAGGAATCACGTTAGGCAGATGAACAGCCAGCGCTTTGGGGTATGGTGTCACTTATGTTATACTTTTTATGGTATACTTTTAAAATTTTGTTAAATAGCATCCCTCTCAGAACTAAAACAATGTATTTACACAATCTATGGGATTAGAAGAGTTTTTAAAATATTTTTTGTTGTTCAGGAGTTGCAAGCTCTAATACGTCAGGATGTGAGGCCCACAGATTATTTGTGGTTATCCGTGAGCGTCCTGTGAGATGGGGACGTTCTGCTGTCCTGTTTTGTGGATGCGGAATGGAGGAATTTGTGATTTCTGTACGTCCTGCTGCGTTTGACCATCTTTATGCCAGCAAAACATACGGGGTATTTCTCCAGGGGGGAAGTCTCGGTCCAGCTCTCTGTCGGAAAGTGGGAGGAGGTTTTGTAATTGGAAAGTCTGTCGGTGGTGTTCGCCGGCTTTGTGCTCTCCTAAGTGAAGCCCGCAGGCCGTTGGCCGAACGGCAGCCCGTGCTTTGGGAAGGACTGCAAGCTTTGGGCTCTTAAGGGCATTTTTTTTCTCCTATTACTTCTTTGCTTTGTTGCTGGAAGTACTGACATTAGAAAAGCGAGGATATCGGGAGCGGTGAGGTGGAAGATTGCCTAAAGTTAACACTGGTGCTGGAATAGGCTCTCAAAAATTGTCCTGTAATTACGTGTCTTCAGGAAGGAGGGCGTTGCTCTATTTCTTTGCACACTGAACTCCACCACATCATTCTTGGAATTACAGTGCTCTCACCATGTATATTTATATTTGTTTTTTCCCAACATTCTTGCTTTTCTGCTGTTAGCAGAGGAAAATCTACTCTTCTCGGATAGCTGCCTTACCTACTGATCTATCAGACCTATTCGCTATTCAGTCGCCGAGCTTGGATCCGCTTTTGCGCAAGAGCTGAAGCCAGAGGTAGGAATCACCTCGTGCTTCCGTTGGGAAGATGACCCCAGTTCCCGCGAGTGTGTCTGTGTGGCCGCTGCAGTGACATGAAGTTGCCATCAGGCTTTGAACCAGACCCCACCAAAGGCACTGGTTACCTCCCTGTGTTTTCTCAAGTCTGGAGAATAATGATTTAACTGCTAAAGAGGAGTCAGGAAAACTGCCCCTCTCGACTGCCTGTTCCCCGGCACGGAGCGTCGGGCAGCTCCTGCGGCACGGGGAGTGCTGTCCCCTCGGCGAGTGCCTGGTTGGCATCTCGCGTTGCTAAACGCGTTACAGGAGGATATTTCGCCTCCGGGACCCGCACAGGGTTTCCTCCCGCACAGCGTGTCCCCGGCGAGCCCGTCGGAGGTTGCTCACCAGAGATGCGCGGTGTCACGGTCCAGCTGAGCGCTGAGCCCGACGCGCTCTGGCAGAGTCTCTCCGGGCCCGTGGCAGCGAGCGCCAGCGAAGGCTTATAGCCAGCAGTTTTTGT